CCCACACCCCCAAACCCAACCCAGCCGCTCGGCCACAGGCGAGGGCGCTGGGGGGCTCAGCCCCCCCCCTTGGCCCGTCTCTGCTGGGGGGGAAGGGGGGTCCCGGCCCCCCTCCCGGCTGTGCTCGTGGCGTGTTGCTGTCGCTGGTGGTGGATGTTGTTCTTTGGGCTCTGCTTTGCTCTGTCCTGCCCCAGCCCCTGTACATAGAGAGAGCTATTTATTTTTGAATTCCCACGGGGGTCCCCAGCAACGGGGGGCTGCCAGGGGGTGAGTGAGGTGGGGGGGACACGCACAGACTCTCTCCCCTCCACCCCAGTCCAGTGCCTCCCCGGGGAGCGCTGCCCGTGGGGGCCCGAGGCCAATCCTGGGCTCTGCTGCGCGGGGAACACGCGGGTGCCTTTGGGAGGGGACACCCCCGTGTCCCCCCCCGGCGCCCCGTGTCACGGGTGCCAGCCCCGGGTGCTGGCAGGGGGTGTGGGTGCCGTGGCAGGGGGCAGAGGGCAGCTGGGGGGCGTTGGGGCTCGGGGTGGGGGGCTCAGGACGATCCAGCCAGCACTGACGCAGCATCGGAAGCACTTTAGACTAAGAGAATGGGTCTCTTAGGGGGCACAGGCTGCTCCGCCGGCCCCCCCAGCACGGGGGTCCCGGCAGCACATCCTGCACCCCCCTCCCACGGCCAGCGCTCGGGGGGACCCGGCCGCCCCGGCCCCCCAAGCCCACTCCACTCCCAGGCACTCCCCACGCGGTTCCCCAGGGCATCCCCACCATGCTGAGGGCTGGTTTTGGCTGGGGGGGAGGGGGCGGGATGGGCGGGGGGATATTAATTATTTTTTAATTATTCTGATGATTTCTCTGCATGCCCTTTGCGCGGGAGCAACCCTCGGGCGCTAACGCTGTATGTTGAGGAGCTGAGCTGTTCCTGTCCCATGAATGCTGGTGGATCGTTGCCAAATTTTTCTCCTTCCTCCCCTTTTCTCTCATTCTTTTTCTGTCTCCCCCTCCCCCAGCATATCCCCCCCATGCCCCTCCCCCCAGAAAAACCCCTTTGTCTTTTCTTTCTGAGCCTTGTAAGTGTAAAAGATGACTCTGATTTCGTTTTTGTCTCGGGAAAACTGCAAATAAATTATGAGGAAAAACCAATGATCATTAAAGTAAGAGGTGAAGGGGGAAGGCCCCGTCCCCGCCGGGGTGCCCAGGACGTGTCTGTGTGAAATGCCACCCGGGACGCTGCAGAGAGGGAACAGGGCTGCGACTGCCAAAGACGACTTTATCCCCCGGCCGGCGCAGCCAGGGCACAGAACACCCGAGGTACAGCCCAAGCCCAACTTTTCCGTTCCCAAGGAGGAGGAAGAGGAGGCAGTGAGGGCTGCTGGGGCCTGGCAGGTGCTGAGCCCCCCAGCCTGGCAGGTGGGAGCAGGGGAGGGGCTCGGGGTGCAGGGCAGGCTGGTAAGCTCCCCCCATCCCCCAGCACCGGGACACAGCTCCGGGCTCAGCAGCGTGGGGAGGAGCTGCCAGGGAGGCACAGAGCACCCCCAACCCAGAAACCTTTTTCCCTTCCCCCTTCTCCCACCCCCCAGCTCACCCTTAGGACACAAATACATAAAAGCTGCCTGGGATGGCAGCGGGGGGTTCTGCCTGCCCCCTCAGCCCCCCGGACAGAGTGGGGGGCTCCTCCAGGCTTCCAGGGGGTGTGAAGGCAGGGGAATGCATGGCCGGGCGTCCCCTGGTCCCAGCTGTCCCAAGAACAGTGAGGGTGGGGGGTCTTCGGCGTGGACCACCCCCCCTGGGTGCCGGCCTGGCGCCAGCCTTGGTGTCCCCACAAGGTGGACAACAGTCACATCAGCCCAGGGGGCTGAGGAACCCCGGCCCAGCCCCAGGAACAGCCCTGGGGGGGCTGTGGAGGGGGGTGCAGGGCTGGTGGTCCAGAGGTGGAGACCCCGGGCTCCACTTCACATGATTTCACAGCAGGAGTTCTGCTTTCGGGCCTAGGAAGAGAAGGAAAACCATCGGTGAAGCTCCCCGAGGGTTTGGGGGTCCCACACATCCCCTGTCCTGCCAGAGGTGGACAGAGCACGAAGGCTGATGGCCCGGAGGCTCCTTTCCGTGTGGCCAGAGCTGGTGCCAGGAGCTGGGATGGACAGGGGCCAGGGCAGGGTGCAGGACACCCCAGGGAGGGGCTGGCGGCTGCAGCTGCGGCCTCCAGGCTCCCTGCACCCCTCCTGGGGGAACAGGGGTGATCCCTGCCCGGCACGCAGAGCTGTGCTCCCCAAGGATGACTCTGCACCCCTCCCAGCTCCCCTGGAGAGGGGGTCACCCTCACACCCACCGTTTTGTAGAAGGCTTTGGATTGTGCGCCCAGCACCTCTGATTTGGAGACCAGGTCGTCCAGCTTCTCCCCGCGCTCCAGCAGTGACTCCATAGTGTTGTGCTGCCAGAGAAAGGTGTGCTGAGCCCCAGCAGCAGCCCCACTGCACCCTGCAGCTCGGGATGGAGGTGCCACCACCCCTCCTGCCACCCTCCTGCAGCCCCCCAGCTCTGGGAACTTGGCCCGGCCAGCTGGGAAAAGCCCAAGGAGAAAAAGGGCAAGACAAAAAGAGGAAGAGGAAAGGGAGCTCCCACCCCAGGGAGGTCTCTGGGGAATGGCTTGGGGTGACTCTCCCCTGCCCCATTGCATGCCCCGGGGCCCCCACGGGCCTGTGCAGGCACGAGCATCCAGCCCTGCAGCCTCACCAGGATGATTTTGGTCTCATCCAGCTCCGCCTGCACTCGGGTCATCGGGTCAGCATCACGGGGGTTCTGGGGAGAAACAGCACGGTGCTGGTGCTGGCACCACCACAGGGACTCCGGGGGGGCACCGGGGTCCCAGCACGTGCCAGGGCTGCCCGGGTATCTCCCCTGCACTTCTCAGGGCTGCAGGGAACACGGAGACCCTCTGTCCTGGTGCCCTGCGGGGTCCCGGGGCTCTGTACCTGGTACTTGCTGAGGTATCCGTCCAAGGCAGAGTAGTTGATGTTGGCAGGTGACACTGAAGGCCAGTCCATCTTGCTGACCTGCCTGGAGAACTCATCCAGCACCTGCCAGGGGAGGAAGCAGCAGTGACCACCCAGGAGCCACAGCTGTGGGGCCACAGTGGCTGGAAGGGTTTTGCTCATCAAAACAGGAGATCTGGAGGTTTTTGGGAAGGGACCTGGCAGCTCATCCAAAGCCCTGCCATGGCAGGGACGCCTCCCACTAGCCCAGGCTGCTCCAAGCCCTGTCCAAAGTGGCCTTGAACACTTGCAGGGATGGGGCAGCCACAGCTTCTTTGGGAAACCTGTGTTAGTCCCATCACCCTGCAGGGAAGGACTTCTTCCCCATATCCCACCTAACCCTGCCCTCTGGCCATGGGAAGCCATTCCCCCTTGTCCCAGGTCTCTCTCCAACTCCCCTGGAGCCCCTTTAGGTACTGGAAGTGGGTCTGGGGTCTCCCTGGAGCCTTCTCCAGGCTGGACAGCCCAGGTCTCACAGCTTGTCTCCCTGGCAGTGGCTGGAGAACTGCCAGTGGAGAAGGAGCTGGAGGTTCTGGTGCCAGTGGGCACATGAGCCCAGCTATGCCAGGCAGTGGCCACGCTCTGTGCTGGCACTGCCAAGGGCCCTTGAGGGTCCAGTTCTGTGCCCCTCATGGCAAGGAGGGGCTGGAGCGTGTCCGGAGCTGGGGAAGGGGCTGGAGCCCCAGGAGGAAACACAGGCAGACTTGGCAAGGCCGAGGTGGGCAGCCCTGACCAGAAGTCCTGCGTGTGGCAGGGCAGGAGGTGCAGGAGCCCTCACCTTGTCCAGCAAGGTAAAACAAACACGCTGGGGGTACTCGTTGTCTGCAATCACCACTCCGGCCAGCCCGTCGCTCCGCACGTACACGTGGCACAGGTAGTCTGCCAAAGAAACTCCTGTCAGAGGGGCAGCCAACGCCCCGAGCCCCCCAGCACCCACCGCCCTCCAACCAGCCCCCACAGCCTCCCCCAGACTGCCCCGGAAGGTGTCATCACACCTGCATTTCTCATTGCTCCCCTAGGAAAAGCTCAAAATTTGGGGCTCAGCCCAAGGGCCCAAGTGTCCCACAGTGTGGGACACAAAACTGACATCCCACAGTAAATAAAACCCAGTGGGGAAAGGGCTCAGCCCGATTTTAACCAATAACAAGGCTGGGCTGCCATCAAAGAGGCTCCAGCAGCCAATCCAGGCTGCCTCCCACGAGTCCTGGGGCTCCAGAGGCATGTGGAGCAGGACCGGGAGGCTGGAATGAGGTGGGAATTTGGGATGTGGAGCCATGGCAAAGCTGGCACAGCCACCCCTCAGTGGGGTGGTCTGGGGAGCTGGGGGGGCTGCAACGCCAGAGCTCCAGGGAAACCGAGGGAGCCAGGGAGAGCACAGGCACTGGAGCAGGCCCCTGAGAAGCTCTGCAGGCCCCTGAGAAGCTCTGCAGGTCCCTGCAGGCCCCTGAGAAGCTCTGCAGGCCCCTGAGAAGCTCTGCAGGCCCCTGAGAAGCTCTGCAGGTCCCTGCAGGTCCCTGAGAAGCTCTGCAGGTCCTGCAGACCCTCTGCCACGCTGTGCTGGGCTCCCAGCCGCCCCAGCAGCTCCTACCATCAACGCTGTCCCCCTGGGCTCTGTTTTGGGGTGACTTTCCCCAGAATGGGGCCAGGGGAAGCTCTCACCTTGCTCCTTGACAGAGGCCCTGCTGCCCAGCGCCGAGCGCTCCACGATCAGCTGGCTCGTGAACGTCATGAACTCCTGCACGCTGCGGGGACACGGCGTGGGCTGGGACACGGCTGGGACACAGCTGGGACAGGGCTGGGGACACGGCTGGGGACACGGCTGGGACATGGCTGGGGACACGGCTGGGACATGGACACAGCTGGGACAGGGCTGGGGACACGGCTGGGACAGGGCTGGGGACAGGGCTGGGACATGGACACGGCTGGGACACAACTGGGGACATGGCTGGGACACAGCTGGAGACACGGCTGGGACATGGACACGGCTGGGACAGGGCTGGGGACACGGCTGGGACATGGACACGGCTGGGACATGGACACGGCTGGGACATGGACACGGCTGGGACATGGACACGGCTGGGACATGGCCCCCATGGCACCGGGCCAGCAAAGTCTGCCCCCAGCTGCCCCTGAACCCCCGAGGAGTGGCAACCCCCGAACGGGCACCCGCAGTCTCCAGGGGAGCACCCAGAGCCCCCCAGCTGCAGTGACAGCCTGGTGTCCTCAGGCTGAACTCGCTTTTTTGGGGATTTAGCAGAAAGCAGAAATGCCATGGAACCACTTAGCAGAAAGCAGAAATGCCTTGCTTTTTGGGGATTTAGCAGAAAGCAGAAATGGCACTGCAGCTGGCTCTGCCTGGCCAGCACCTGGTGACCAGCTGCATCGTGGAAGCACGGAATGATTTGGGTGTTTGACCCCCCAGGCACCCAGCCACCACCATGAGTCAAAGCTAAAGGACATCCTTAAGCCAGACCGGCTCTAATTTGGAACACATTCCTGAGCCCAGGCTCAGGCCTGTCCAACAGGCTCCTTAGTGAGCCCTTGTCACCCCACAGCAAAGGAAAAGAGGCCAAAAATAATGAGCAGGAGTCAAGTAAACCCATTTCCAGAACGCCACCACATCCTGGCCATGCTGGGATTAGCCAATGTGAGGGAACACGCTCCCCAGTTCAGCTGGAAAACCCCAGGAAGGGACATTTTATCAGGGAGTGCATTACAGAGCTGGCCAGACAGCAGGGAGTGGGACAGCTGCTGCCTGGAGGTGCCAGGGAAACGTCCCTGGACCCAGGCACTGGTGTGGCACAGCCCGTGGTTCTCTGACCGCCTCCCACTGCTGGAAGCAGCTCCAGAGGGGAAATTGCCTCAGCTTACATCCCTCAGAGGGGTCTGCACCGCTCCCAGCCCGGCCACCAGCGCCACAGAGACTCTGCACTGCAGGGAAAAGTCCAGCCCAAGGATCCCTGAGCATCCTGAACACTCCTGCTTCACCAGAGAGGGAGCACGGACACCTCCCCCCGAGAGGAGGGACCCAGCCCCCATCCACCACCCCAGGGGTTCACATGAACCACGGAGAAAACATTTAAAACATTTATCATCAGCGAGTCCAACTACGTGCCAGTTAGACCCCAGGATGCATCTTCAGGGACTGCTCCTCCACTGGGAGTGCTGGTTTTGTTTCCCAGTATTCTGGAAGGAACTGGGCACTCAGCTGCTCACTCTGCCTTCCCGACCCTGCCAAATTCCTTGGCAGTCGTTCAGCGGGCAGAGGCGCGGGCACAGCCCGGCCCTGCACTCCTGCCCAGCAGGTTATCCCAGAGCAGCCCTGAAACACGCCCTGAACATCACACCTGGGCCAGCATCCCCGTGAATAACCCGGGACAGGCACAGACACCCTGCTCCTGGAAATCCCGGAGCTCTCCTCGGGCACGGGCACAGCCCGCCGAGGGGGCAGCCCTCAGCACGACCACACGGGCAGTTTCTGGGGGTTTGGGAAAATGAGCTGCAGCCACAGCGTGCTGTGGGGTGCACCTGGAGCCACTGGCACATCTGGCCGAGAAGGAGCTTTTTTAGACACTCTTACTTCAGCCTTTCCCCTGGAACTGCAGAACCAGACGTGCCTGAGGCACCAGAAAACTTGGCAGGGAAAGTTTGGTCCCAGAGGAATTTCCTAACTCCCCTACCCTGCCAAGCAACAATAACCTATTCCAGAGCTCCAGGAGATTCTCAGGAGCTGCTGGAGCTCCCTGATCCCCCTGTGGGCAGCCTGGAGTGGCACCTGGGGCTCAGCCAGCTCACCTGAGGGCACTGGATAACCTGGGCAGAGCTCTGTAGGCTGGGAAGAGCTGACCCCGCTGCCAGGCGTTCCTGAGCCCCGATTCTGTGGCCTGGGCGTGCTGGAGGTTTGTGGGGCCCCGCTGCTGGCTGGGGCTCCGGGAGCTTCACTCCACTGCTGAGGCTGATCCCTCACTCCAAGCAGGTCCCAACTCCCCAGGAGCAGCCCTGGGGCTGCTCCCCCTTAGGAACAGCCCCTCCCTGCTGCCAGTGCAGCTGCAGTGAGGGCAGACCCTCCAAAGCCCTGCCTGTGCTCCCCCGGGGCTGCGGCACGCACCTGGACCTCTGGAAGAAGCTGAAGCTGGACACGTCGTAGGCAGCTTTCAGCAGGCGCACCCTGGGCTCGCCTTTGTAAAGGACACTTAGGCTGTAGAGCCTCATGGCGGCGGCTCTGGGGCTGCGGAGAGAGGGCGGAGGGCTCGGGCTGGGCCTGCGGGCCGGGACAGCCCCGGGGCTCCCCCAAACCCCCCTCCCGTCCCGGACAGGTGGAGCCCCCAGCCCCACGCCTGCCTGCTCAGCCCGGCCCGGCACGGCTCAGCCTGGCCCAACCCAGTATAACCCACTATAACCCAGTAAAATCCACCCCAGTATAGCCCAGTATAGCCCAGTAACACACAGCCCGGTATAGCCCAGCACCCAGCCCAGTAAAATCCACCCCAGTATAGCCCAGTAAAACCCAGTCCAATATAACCCAGTAAAACCCAGGACCCAGCCCAGTAAAACTGAGTAAAACCCCGCAGAGTATAACCCAGTATGGCCCAGTATAACCCAGTAAAACCCAGCCCAGTATAACCCAGTAAAACCCGGCCCAGTATAACCCAGTATGGCCCAGTATAACCCAGTAAAACCCAGCCCAGTATAACCCAGTATGGCCCAGTATAACCCAGTAAAACCCAGCCCAGTATAACCCAGTATGGCCCAGTATAACCCCGTAAAACCCAGCCCAGTATAACTCAGTAAAACCCAGCCCAGTATAACCCAGTATGACCCAGTATAACCCAGTAAAACCCAGCCCAGTACAACCCAGTATGGCCCAGTATAACCCAGTATAACCCAGCCCCTCCACCCAGTGTAACGCGGCCACTGCCCAGTACAACCCAGCCCCAGCCATCCCCCGGCCCCAGCAGCCCCGGCCAGCCCCGCCAGCCCCGCCAGCCCCGGCCATTTCCGGGCCATCCCCGGGCCCGCCCGGTACCGGCGCTGCGGTCCCGGCGGCGGCCGAGCGGCGATGGGCGCGACCCGGAAGTGGAGCACAGCGGCCGGAAGTGCCGGCCCGGGGCGCCGTGGCACTCCTCCCGGCCTGCGCACGCGCCAAGATGGCTCCGCCCCCTCAGCCTTCTGACCAATCGGCGCCCGCTTCCCCGCTCTCCGGCGTCCCCCGGGAGGCCAATCAGCGCCGAGCTGGGGTGGCCCTGTTCCTCGGGGCGGCCAGCAGGGGGCGCTGTGCCCGGCGGGGCCGCGGGGGCGGGGCCTGTTCGGCTCCGTGGGGCGGGGTCCCGGGTGGGCCGGGGGTCCCGGGTGGGCGGGGTCCCGCGTGGGTCGGGGGTCCCGGGTGGGCGGGGTTCCGGGTGGGCGGGGTCCCGCGTGGGTCGGGGGTCCCGCCGTGGGCGGGGTCCCGCGGTGGGCGGGGTTCCGGGTGGGCCGGGGGTCCCACGGTGGGCGGGGTCCCGGGTGGGTCGGGGGTCCCGGGTGGGCCGGGGGTCCCGCGGTGGGTCGGGGGTCCCCTGTGTGGGGTCCCGTCCCCATGGCGTGGTGACCCCTCTGAGCAGGGGGAGCAGCCTCCCCCGGGTGCTGGGGCCCGCCCTGGGGAGCGGGGACCCCTCCGTGGGGCGGTTCCGCCGTGGGCAGTGGGGACCCCTCCGTGGGGCGGTCCTGCCCTGGGTGGAGGTCCATCCATGGTGGGGGGCAGGGGCTGAACCTCCCCAGGGTTTCGGAGCCCTCCGCGGTGCGAGGACCGCTCAGGGTGGGCTGCCAGGACCCTCCTGTGCGGCCGGGGGGAGCAGTGGGGTGCTGTGGGGTGACCCTGTGTCCCCCAGACCCTGCTCTGCCCCCAAACCCCGTGCCCTGCCCGGAGCCCCCGCAGCCCCCCGGGGCTGTCACCCCGGCGCCCCTCCGGGCTTCCCGGGGATGGGGCGACGCTTCCCGGAGCAGCGCCGGGAGGTTTCGGGGTCTCGGACCTCCACAGTCCCCGATTTGCGCGACGCCGGGTGCGACACGTGGCTCCGGGGGTGCCGCATCCCCCTCCTCAAATCCGGCCCCCCGCCCGGTCCCGGCGGCGCCGGGGCGGATCCGCTCCCCTCCGCGGGGTCCGCCGGCCGCGCCGTGCCCGCGGTCGCCATGGGAGCGTGCCGGTTGCCAAGCCGGCCGCTGGAGTGCTTGCCACCGCCATCGAGCGGTTGGCGTGACAACGGGGACACGGGTGACCCGGGGCGTGGTGCTCCGCGGGGAGGGTCCGGGCCGAGCCGGGCCAGCGCACCGGGGGTCTGCAGAGCTGGGACCCCCGCCCCGGGATTGATTTATTAAGGGAGCGAGCGGGAGAGGTGACCGGAGCCCCGGCGGAGCGGAGGATGTGCGGGCACAGCGCTGATCGCCCTGGGGCCTCGGGCCCCGCTCCCGGCCCCTCCGCTTGAGGCCACCGGGACCCCCTCGGCGGGCGCCGCGCTGGCCCGGCCGATGAGATAGCGCGGCGAAGGTGGAGCATCAGCGAGGCTCGGAGCAGCCCAGCGCCGCCGGACAGCCGCCAGCGCAGGGCAGGGGCTCCCCCAGGCCAGGCACCACGGTGGGCACACAGCGGCTGAGGGGGGCACGGCTCGGCCCGCAGCCCACCCCGCCCCGCACCTGCCCCCATGCTGGATCACCGAGCCAGGATGGAGAGCAGCAGGAAGGAGAAGGTGAGGCGGCTGCAGGGCGGTGCTGGGTGCCCAGTGGGTGTGGGGAAGAGTGCAGACCCTCACCGGGGTTCCAGCCTTCCCTGGAGCGGGGCCAGGTGCTCCCAGCACCTCCCGAGGTCACCGGGGGCAGCCCCGGGGTTCCCAGCCCTGAGGTCACCCCCCAGCACAGCCCTTAGGGCTCATGATGGAGCTGGGAGCGTTTGTGGGACATCCTGCATCCCAGCATTGCCCCGGGCGTCTTGCAGCCGCTCAGCTGCATCCCCAGGATGAGGTGGGGCCTGTCACCTCCTTCAGGTGGCTGTCATCGTTGCCACTGAGGCAGGATGGCACCGGGCTCATTCCCAGCTGTCTGTGGGAAGCATCCTCTCCCAGATGGATTGAGCTCACGGGGTCATGGGTGAGGACACTGGAGACATGCCCTGCTGCCAGCTGGGACACCAAGGGGACACCCAGGGGACACCGAGGGGACTCATCATATGCTGGACCAGCAGGGATGGGTGTCACTGGCCACTGCAGCCAGCAGCCACATGGTTCCCAGCTCCATGCCTTTTGTGGGATGCACTGGAGCACACCATTTCCATGGGAAGCTGAGAGCCAGGTAATGCCATGTGGGAAGACCCAAATCCTGCCAGGGAAGGGCCAAACCCATTATTTTGAAGGTGAGTAGGGACATGTGGTGCTGAGGTGGAAAACACCCTGGAGAAATAAAACTGGGACTCCCAAGTACCAGCCTTGGGATGGGGAGCCTCCGGCCATGGCAGATCTGGGGCTCCCATGCCAAGGGGTGCCATGGGACGGATTAGCACCGAATACCTTCAGCCAACAACCCAGGAGAGATTATCAGATCCAGCTCCACACTTTCCTGGCAGGATTTTTCCAATCATTCTGGGCCAAACACCCTCAGGATCAGGGCAAACCTCACCACAATGCTGCTCTGGGTGCCCAGCCCCATTCTGGGGGGATCCGGGCTGCACTGAGGGCCAGGTGATGTGCCAGGATGGAGAGCAGCTGGACTGAGCCAGGCAAGGTTTGGGAGGCTCCAAACCACGTCCCAAACGATTTCCTGAGCCCCCCACCCCAAAACCTGTCAGGAAACGGCAGCGGCCTCGAGGCAAACATCTGTGTGCCGGGAAGAGGCTGGAGCCCAGCCGGAGGCCGGTGACTAATGAGCCCTAATGCTGCGGCTCCAGCTCCATCTGACAGCCGGGGCACCTGGCCCCAGCCCTGCTTCTAATGGGGGCTGCGCCGAGCCCGGGGTTGCTACGGAAAGGATAAACACGGATCCTGCTTGCCAGGTGCTTCCCTGGAGTGGGCCCTGCGGCTCTCCCTGGCAGCGAGACAAGGCAGCAATCCCCAAGAATATTCCTGCCTGCCCTCTGCCCTCTGTTAGCCACACGTTTGTTGGGTGAAAAATGGTGCCCACGATTCCCAGGGGGATGCAGGGAGAGGGGTGCCCCAAGGGGAACAAGGAAGACACACCAGCATGTCCATCATGAAAGAATCCCATATCCTCAGTGGGAGTGCTGTGCTCCTCAATGGCATGGCCAGCACTCCTTGCTGGGAGTGACTCTGGGATTCATCAGAGCCACAGCCACCCAAAAAATTCAGCTGGGTGAATTCTCCACAGCCACCCAAAAAATTCAGATGGGTGACAGGGATGGCAGAACCCCAGTGCCAGCCCTGGTCCCCAGGAACACCAGAGCTGAGCATGGCGTCCTGCAGGCAGCACCAGGAGGGGGTCGGTGCCTTGTGACAGTCCTGTGGATTCCCTGATGCCCCTGTTCAGTGGGAGGAGAACAGCAGAGTGATAGGATAAGTCATTTCAGGGTTCCATGTGCCCATGGGGAAAACAGGGCTGGGAGAATGGAAACTTGGAGCTTCCCAAACTTCTTGCAGTTCAGGCCCCTTGCATCCCAAATTCCTAGTCCCTGGCTGATGCTGTGTGGTGTGCAGGTGGAGCAGATCCTGTCAGAGTTCCCTGGTCCCTGGCTGATGCTGTGTGGTGTGCAGGTGGAGCAGATCCTGTCGGAGTTCCGTCTGAAGGAGGAGGACCTGAAGAAGGTGATGTACCGGATGCAGAAGGAGATGGACAGAGGGCTCAAGTTGGAGACACATGAGGAAGCCTCTGTCAAAATGCTGCCCACCTACGTGCGCTCCACCCCCGAGGGCTCCGGTACGGCGTCACTCCCAGTCCCTCGTGTGTCACCCCTTCCTCACACCCCATCAAGCTCCACGTAGAAGGCTGAGCCTACCAGGAGCCCGTCACCTTCTCCCCTCTCCCTGGCTTTGCAGAGGTGGGAGATTTCCTGTCCCTGGACCTGGGCGGCACCAATTTCCGTGTGATGCTGGTGAAGGTGGGCGAGGGGGAGGAGGGGCAGTGGAAGGTGAAGACGAAGCACCAGATGTATTCCATCCCGGAGGATGCCATGACTGGGACGGCTGAGATGGTCAGTGGAGCGCACAGGGAGGGCATCCATCCCATCCCATCCCATCCCATCCCATCCCATCCCATCCCATCCCATCCCATCCCATCCCATCCCATCCCATCCCAGTCCCTTTCATCGTTTCAGTGGGAATGCTTGGGGGGACACACCCATCCATCAGCCAGCAGAAGCTGGGGGTGTCTATGGGGAGCCCATGCTGGGGGACAGCATCTGTCCAAGGGTAGTGGGAGGGTGGGGACATCTCTTGGGAAAGGCTGGACCTCCTCTCTTTCAGCTCTTTGACTACATCTCCGAGTGCATCTCTGATTTCCTGGACAAGCACCAGATGAAGCACAAAAAGCTGCCCCTGGGCTTCACCTTCTCCTTCCCTGTGCGGCACGAGGACATCGACAAGGTGAGGGGGTGTCTGGGCAGCACAAGGGTTAGGGGTCCCCAGGCCTCACCTACACCCCAGCGCCACTTCGGTCTGACCCCCATTCCAGGGCATCCTCCTGAACTGGACCAAGGGCTTCAAAGCCTCTGGCGCGGAAGGGAACAACGTGGTGGGGCTGCTGAGGGACGCCATCAAACGGAGAGGGGTGAGAGGATCAGACTCTGCTGGCTCCACCGTGGCACACCCCGGCACCCGCGGCTGGCCCTGCCAGGGGCTCACTGAGCCTGGCCGTGCCTGCAGCAGGGCCACTGGAGCCCGTGTGTCCCCAGGAAGGGACCACTGGAGCGCAGCCGTCCCCATGCTGGGGCTGCTGGAGCCAAACGTGGCCCTGGGCAGGGATGCTTCGTGTCTGTGCGCACACCTGTGTATGACACGTGCCCAGGTCCCCACCCCTGGGGACAGTCCACCCAAACCTGCCTGCTGTGAGACAGCCTGAGCCCCATGAGCCCACAGTGGTCCCTGTCCCCAGGACTTCGAGATGGACGTGGTGGCAATGGTGAATGACACGGTGGCCACAATGATCTCCTGCTACTACGAAGATCACCAGTGCGAGGTTGGGATGATTGTGGGTAAGATGCCCCTTCTGCAGGGACACGTGGCTGGACATGGGGCACTGTCCCATGGGCCTGCTCCCCTGCTGCTTCCCCCGTCCTTTTGGGAGACATTCCAAGTACAGAGAGGTGGCCATGGCACTCTGCTGAGGTGTCTGGTGGCTGGGACACCCGATGGCATTGCCTGCCCCAGCATGGTTGGGGCACTTTGGGAGTAAAGGGGGTGGTCATCGTAACAGGGCTGGTCCCCAGAGGGCTGCCCTGCCCCCAGGCTGTTGGTGGCTCTGGCCTGTTGGTCCCCACCACCCTCACAGGGTAGGATTTCTTCCCTGTAGCCAATCTAAATCTCCCCTCTTTTAGTCTAAAACCCTTTCCCCATGTCCTGGAACCGCTCTTGTTGTCAGTCACCAGGTTGGGGAGTGTCCCTCAGGCTCCATAGGGGTCCCAACCCTGCCCTGGCACCTCTGGACCCCCTCCAGTTCTTTCCCATTGCTCCACAACACCGCCCCAGTTTTATCCCCGTCAGGAGGGGAGGGCTGTGGTGGGGGGCATCACCGCTGTCCCCCCTGCCCAGAGCCATCCCCGGTTCCTGGCAGGGACGGGCTGTAACGCCTGCTACATGGAGGAGATGCACAACGTGGAGCTGGTGGAGGGCGACGAGGGCCGGATGTGCGTGAACACGGAGTGGGGCGCCTTTGGTGCCTCTGGGGAGCTGGACGAGTTCCTCCTGGAGTACGACCGCGTGGTGGACGAGACCTCACTTAACCCCGGTCAGCAACTGTAAGGAATAGGAGAGATCCAGTTCCTCTGGGCGTCCCCCGTCCCCTGCGCCACGCTGGGCTCAGCCCTGGCATGGGCGTGCTTCGCCCCGGGCCGTGCCCGTGCGCAGGACACATCCAGCAAGGAGTGGGGCAAGGAATGAGGGGGTGCTGTGGGATGTGACCCCTCACATCCCAGCTCTGATGCCCCCCTGGCCTATGCCCGCCCCAGGTACGAGAAGATAATTGGGGGGAAGTACATGGGGGAGATCGTGCGGCTGGTGCTGCTGAAGCTGGTGGATGAGAACCTGCTCTTCAATGGCGAGGCCTCTGAGAAGCTCAAGACTCGTGGCACCTTTGAGACCCGCTTCATGTCCCAGATCGAGAGGTGCGAGGCTGGGGGGTGGCACCCCCAAACCGGCCTGCCAGGCTGCTTCGCACTGGGAGGTCTGTGCCCTCCCTCCATGCTGGTGCAGGCATGCTGAGGAGTCTGTGCTCCCTCTCTGCACTGGGCTGTCCCACAGGGGATCCCCCTGTTCCATCGTCCCAGACCAGTCTGATTGACTGCCTCCTTTTGGGGTCCTTTATCCTGTGACCCCACAGCAGTCTACTCTGACTGTCCACCTTGGGGTCCCTGCGTTCTGCCACCCAAACCGCAGTGTCCCCTTGTCACGGGGGCCATTGTGATCCCATCATTCCATACCTGCCTGCTCTGTCCCATGTTGGGGTCCCCATGTCCCATCCCCCCACACGAGCCCGCTCTGACTGACCCAGCTGGGGTTCCCCATCCTGGGACCCCAAACAACAGTCCCGTGCGAAGATCCCGATCCCATCACTCCTCCATCCCTCTCCAGCTGCCTCACCCAGGGTCCCCACCCTTCAGCCTTGGCTGAGCCCCTTTTCTCCCCCCACCCCAGCGATTCTGATGACCGCAAGCAGATCTACAACATCTTGTCGGCCTTTGAGCTGCTGCCGTCGCGGACGGACTGCGAGATCGTGCGCCGGGTGTGCGAGAGCGTGTCCACGCGGGCTGCCCAGATGTGCTCGGCCGGGCTGGCCGGTGTCATCAACCGCATGCGGGAGAGCCGCAGCCAGGACACCCTCAAGATCACGGTCGGCGTCGATGGTTCCGTCTACAAGCTCCATCCCAGGTGGGGATCCCCAGGCCCCGATGGCGTCCCCGTCCTCTCCCCTTATCCCCCAAGCCCTGACCCCATTTGTGACCCCCTGTTCCCCCGACTCCCCAGCTTCAAGGACCACTTCCACGCCACGGTGCGGCAGCTGACGCCTGGCTGTGACATCACCTTCATCCAGTCGGAGGAAGGCAGCGGGCGCGGGGCCGCCCTCATCTCAGCCGTGGCCTGCAAGATGGCCTGCATGATGGGGCAGTGAGCTGGACTTGGAGGGGCATGGCAGGGGCCGGTGGTCCTGCTTGGAGCGCTCTGGGAGCAGACACGGACGCGGCAAGGAGGCAGCTCCGGCCCCCCAATAAACGGGGTGTGTGTGGACTTCTCTGGGGCCGCTTGGGCCAGTGATCCTCTCCCCCCGTGCTGGTAGAGAGACCCTCACAGGGCTGCCCCACATGTTTGGGGTGGCCAAGGAGCTTCCCGTGCCCTCACCTCCCTTCCCCATCCTCACACGGCTGCAGCAAGGGGGGCTCCGGCGCAACCCAGCCCCTTTGCCAGGAGAAAGCCCCCCCAGGGGGGTTGGTCTAGGGATAAGGGGCTCTCTGGGGGTACTGTGGGGGGATGTCAGGGTAGAGGAGCTCCCCACCAGTGGTCCCTGGGGTGCAGAGGCTGAGCAGAGTGCACCAGAAATGGACCAGATGGAGGAGGGCATACTGGGGGGATCCCCTCCAGCCATGTCCCCACCCGTGTTCCCTGGAAGGTCTGGGGCACCCCAGAGATTTGAGCTCACCAGAGGGTCTGGAGCAGAGTCTTGGGGTCCCTCTGGGGGTCATGGCACCCCAGGGTGCCAGGGGTCCTTTAAGGATCTGGCAGTACCAGAGCGTATTGTGGCTCTCTGAAGGCTCTGGAAGCAAGCCAGGGTTTGGGGCCACTCTGAGGGTCTGGAGCAGCCCAGGGTGAAGGGGTCCTGCTGGGACACCACGGGGTGTTGGGATCCCCACTCAGGGTGCGGGGTCAGCCCCAAGGTACGTGTTATAGCCGTGATATTTGGGGCCACTGCAGGGGTCTGGGGGTGCCCTGGGGCACGGGGCACCCAGGATCGAGGGACATCTCAGGGTGCTGGGCTACCTCTGGGGCACCCGGGACCGGGGGGGACTGGATCACCACGGGGAGTGGGGCCAACGTGGGTCCTGGGACTACCGAGGGATCTGAGTGTCCTCGCAAAGTGGGGGTGCCATCGAGGGGCTGGGGACACGGGGGGTGGCCGCGTCACCCCAAGGGACAAAGCCAGGCAGCGGTGCTGCTCCCGGAGGCCCGGCTCCACGGCTGGCACTGGGATCCCTCACTGCGGGGGGACAAGGGGATCCCTCTGCGCCGCCGCTGCAGCCTGCAGGATTCCCTGCCTTCTGATTGGCTTGCACCAAAAGGCATCTTGAGCTCTGATTGGTGGCAGCCCTCAGAGACCTGCAGATCTCTGTTCTGATTGGCCAGGGGCAAACAGAAGAGATTCCCTGCACTCTGATTGGTTGGAATTAAAGTTAAAAAAAAAAAAGGGTGTGGGATTCCCCGTGCTCTGATTGGCTGGGACTGC